ATCACACATATAGATAGCTAACACCAGGAAAGGACGAAAGTAATCGATGAAAACAAACGCGCAATTCATGGAGAAAGGAAGATATCCTACCTCTTTAGGCTTTCTGGTGCTTCGGGGTCTGAAACGAACTATTTATGTTAATGTGTGCCTTTATTTGCTGGTGAAAATTGTTTTGTTGTTCGTTTTTGTGGAGAGAAATCCTGTTGTGTGACCGTCTCCTAGCGCGGCAAGTCTTCGAATGGTACTGAATTCGAACATAAACAAAATTGCGCTGCTTAGCAACTGCTTGTTGCCGCACATTCGAACCTGTAAACAACCCTGTTGCTTAGCAATTGTTTGTTGTCACGGATTCAAATTTAACGGTCTTCTAGCTCAGCGTACGGAGACAATCAGACATGACCGATGAAAACAAACGCGCTAAACATGAAAAAACGAAAGACAATCCTACCTATTTTAGGCCTACAGGTTCCCAAGGTGGTGAAAGAAACTATTTGTGTTAAGATTTATGCCTTCATTTGCTATTAAAAAGTGATCGTTCATTTTCTTCAGACCGTTCCTGTTGTGTGGGCGCCTTTCGTGTGAACGAAAGTAATCGATGAAAACAAACGCTCAATTCACGAAGAAAGAAAGAAAGAAAATCCTACCTCTTTAGGCTTGCTGGTGCTTCGGGACCTGAAACAAACTATTTATGTTAATGTGTGCCTTTATTTGCTGGTGAAAATTGTTTCTTTGTTGGTTTTCTTGGGAGGAATCCTGTTGTGTGACCGCCTCCTAACACGGCAAGTCTTCGAATGATGCCGAATTCGAACATGTAAACAACTTTGCTGCTTAGCAACCACTTGTTGTCGCACATTCGAATCTGTAAACAACCCTGTTGCTTAGCAATTGTTTGTTGTCACGGATTCAAATTTAACGGTCTTCGAGCGCAGCTTACGGACAATCAGACACGACCGATGAAAACAAACGCGCAAAACATGAGGAAAGGAAAGAAAATCCTACCTTTTGACAGGTGCCTAGGTCCAGAAAAATGATATATCTTAAATATTTACCTTTATCTTGTTGTGTGACCGCCTCCTAGGAAGCGTCATTCCTCGGATGATGCCGAATTTGAACCTGTAAACAACCTTGCTGCTTACCAACCGCTTGTTGTTACGGATTCAAATTTTACGGTCTTCTAACGCAGTATCGTTACACACCAATAACAAACCAACCGGTGAAAACACGAAAAAAGTAAAGAAACTCCTAGATATTTGGGCCTAAAGCTGTCTAAGGACATGAAATAAATGATTTATGTTTTAAATGTGTGGCTTTATTTACTATTGATGATTTAACGGTCTTCTAGTTAAACCGATCTCGAGAGATGAAAACAAGCGCGTAAAACACGAGTAAAGGAAGGAAAACCCTACCTCTTTTTAGGCCTACAGGTTCCCAAGGTCCTGGAAGAAATGATTTATGTTAAATAAGTGCCTTTATTTGCTGTTGAAATGTGTTTTTTGTTTTGTTGATCCTTTTCTTGGGAGCGATCTTGTTTTGTGGCCGCCTCCTACCACGATCTGTCTTGGAATGATACCGAATTCGAACATAAACAACCCCTGTTGCTTAGCAACTGTATGTAACCTCAGATGACCCCAGGTGTGCCATTTGCTCTAGAACGTCTCACGCGAATCTAGAAGCTGGCATAGCGCATTTCTATGTCTGTAAAATCTTGCTGCTTAGCAGTTGTTTGTTGTCGCGCATTCAAATTTAACGGTCTTCTAGCGCAGCATACGGAGGAAACAGTTCCACAATCTCATACCTTCGCCAAATGATGTTTACGTTTAGATGTATGTTTGGATATGGCTTTGTATCTTTTTCATTGTGTTGTACTTCCAAATTGATTCTTAAAAATAAACTACAATACGTTTTTTTATTAGGGTACGGTCCAAAAAATGGTCAGTTACTCTAACAACCGACCACTTTTGAGGTTAGGGCCTGAAAACCCATGGGAAAGGGAGCCTTCTGATTGGTCAACTTCTTCTGGCCGCATGATAATACGTTTAAAGCTTAACAAAATGTATGCAAATTATGGTGATTGATTGAAAGGTGGTACGATCACACCAGTGACCAATTTAACTTAATTGAGAAAATGCAAATTTTGGTGATTCCTTATCAGGTGGTAAGACCACGCTGCAGCAAGATGGAAGTATGGTTGGACATGGAAGAACTCGGTGGTTAAAATTCGTCTTTTAAGACGAGCTACGTCCAGTTAAGGAGGTGAGTCGCACTGTCAACTTTGTCCTTTATAATTATATTTTTGTGACTATATGGGCTGAACTCGTTGAAATGAAATGAAGCTAAAAGTTGAAACACAGAATGGCGTGAATTTATATTTGCGCCGGTGACGATTCCCCGTGTTTAAACCTGCACTTAGTTAAAAGTCGTTGTTAGGGGGCATTTTTTTATGTCCGCTTTGAACTGACATGATTATACATTAGATACGCTCGTTTTATTATCTTCGCCAAGAAGGTTAATGTTTTAGGAGGCGTTCGTGTGTCTGTCAATACGATAACTCGAGAACGCTTATATGGATTGTCCAGATATTGGTATGTTGGTAGGTCTTGATAAGACCTCGAAATGATTAGATTTTTGGACTCACTTGTTATGGTACTGCAGCAGAACTTTCGGTTTTGATATCTCATGAACTGGCCATGCTAGGGGCACGAAAGTTGGAAGGTAGGTAGCTCTTGTGCTGAAAATGAAGTGTCGCGAGTTTGGGCTCCCTAGAACTTACCCTGGAACTGCAGGGGCGTTTGTTATTCAAAGGAGGATAAGCCAAGAACCAGTAGAGGAATCGTCGTAATTTTTGGTTGGTAGTGATGCTTGACATAATAAGATGACAAGTATGGATTCCAAATAAGAATCTAACTTTCATAATTAATGAGAAAATTCTGGAATTTTTTATTTTTACTGTTTTAAATGCATTATGTATACCAACTTTTCCCAGCAGTGTTCTGTCAATGAGTTGTGCTTGAATGCTGTTGAACTGATATTCAAATAGCATTCTGTGTTGTAACGTTGGTGACTGTTCTGATGTATTTTATGTGAGATGTACTTCATGAGATTTTTCCATGGTCATGATATTCTATGCTTACCAAATATGTTGATTTTTGATTGAATGTAATTTTGCTCTGCTCTTCATTTTCCCCACCTACTCAGAATTTGATCTTGCCCCTGACCCAAAGCAGGTTTTAACATTCAAACATATGATGTGAATATTGCAATGTATAAGGCTCTGTGACTAATTATTATTCTCTAGTATCTAGTAGCCTGTGATTTTTCTGAATGTATATTTCTTTTACACCCTAGGTTTGAGATGCTGCTAATGTATAGCTGACATTGTGGGACCTGTCTCCTGTGTGTGCTGTGGGACCTGTCAGCTATCCTGTGTACCTGTCCACACTCTAGAAGGATCTGTCAGCTATCCTGGGTTCCTGTTTTAACCTATCCACAAGAGAAGAGAACATCGGACTTGACTGTAAGTTGGCTTTTATTTACAAACTCTTTCCAAAATGGGGTCTGCATGCCGCAATGCGTAATCAGCCGTTTTAGGTTTGCATAATAGAAAGTCGGGTCGATCTAGTCACCGTTAAACTGTCATCTGTGCGATAAAACGTCCAGCCAGTATAAGTGAACCATAATATGTGGTCATTGCTTTGCAGCATTCTGCACCTTGTCATTTCAATTTTGCATAATTTAAAGTCAAACGATTCTGATTTAATATCAAATGTAATCGTGAAACCAGCCTGAAGTAAATTGCGGTCGCTGCCTTACAGAATTTAGCATGCAAAGCGCGATCGGGACCTTCCATGCAGACCCTTACAAATGACAATGAAAGATGTTGGGAAAGGGCATGTTTGCGATCCTCTGAATTTTTCATTCTAAACGCCATTGTTGAAACTTAGCTAGGCCCTCCCTGCTTTTTGTTGTCATTTCTGAAAGAGTTCACATTCCTAACTAATATTTAGTTTAAGGTTGTGACTAATCTTTTATTGCAAATTTTACTGAGAACACTGAGAACATTTTACAAAGTTCCTTCTACTTTTAATGCAGTCAAGTCACAGATAGTGTAGCTAGGAGTTTAATATATATGTGAGTTGTTCAGAGTTCAAAAGTTCTTGTCCGGCTCCTTTTTCTTCTGCTTCCTAGTTCTACTTTCTTGTTAGGAAAATATGTGTTTTCATGCAAACTCTTTGGTTAGCTCTAAGGAAAACATATGTTTTAGTATAGCTTTAACTTTGGCACAGTGTATATTGCCTTCAGTTGGCAACAATTAGCATGGCTGATATAACAACAGTTTTCTATCTTGTTACATCCTACATGTAAGATAAAATACATGTACAGTACTTTCTAAATCTAGACAAGTGGTAATACCAGTGCGAAGGTGGTATACCAAACAGATACTTGGGATTATTCTGCCCAGTTTCCTGACTGCCTAGCAATTCTTAGTCCTTTGTTCAGTTCGTCTCAGCGATACTGGATAGGTGGTTTTATGTTGCTTCTGGTTCGTGACGATCTGGTTGTGTTTGGCGTTGTAGTGTTGGATGACGTAGTAGGTGTTGTCATGATGGTTTCTGGTTGTTTAGCAGTTGAATTGTTGTCTGCTATTGGCGGTGTTGTTGTTGTTGTTGTTGTTTGTTTTGTTGCTGGAGTCGAGGCTGTGGTCATTTCCAGCGTGGATCCTGTTCCTTCTCATTTGCTTGCCGGATTCTGTCTCCACGACGTAGGACTTGGTGTGTCAGCTTTCTCAATTATCTGTCCTGGTGCCCATGTCTTCTTTGTGAATCTTGCACATGAACAGTTTGCCCCATTGTTCAGGTCTGTTAGACGTTGTTTTTGTCAGTCATACTGCTTCTTGCTTTTGTCTTGTGCGGCTGTGACAGCTTGGCCATCACTTCTTCTTGGTCTGTGGGAGGCTTAACTTTTGTCGGTAGATTAGTCTTGTATTTTCTCCCGTTCAACAGCTCTGCTGGAGATTTCATGTCTGCTCTCAGTGGAGTAGTGCGCAGTGTTAGGAGTACCAGGTTTGGATCTTCTCCTGTTTCTATGCACTTGGTGAGGGTTTTCTTCTGTCTGCACTTGTCTTTCAATGAATCCATGCCCTTTGGAGATGATGTGGTTATCTTGAATCCAATAATACTCTTGTGTGTCAAGCACATTTGAACTCCTCTTAGGTGAATTGTGATCCATTATCACAGACTTCTTTGTCAGGAATTTCTTGCTCAGCAAAGATTCCTTTGAAAGCTAGCGTTACTGTGGAAGCTTTCAGGCTCTTGAGATTCTTCAGGATTTGGAATTTTGAATAATAGTCTACCACCAACAGGAACCATTTTTGGTTAAGGTGGAACAGGTCTGCTCCTACATGTAGCTTCTTCCGCGGTCGGCTGGGTGTTGTAGTTGGAGTCATTTCTTCTTTTTGTTGTGAGTTTTGATACTTCTGGCATGTTCGGCATGATCCTTTAGATCTCCTTATACATGTATACAAGCCAACCCAATACACGGCTGTTTTAGCGCGTAGCTTGGACTTTTCCATCCCCAGGTGACCTTCGTGAGTGGATCTTTTGGAGGGTCTCTGATTTGGGAATGACTATTCTGGACCCTGCAAGCAGTACACCATCTCCAATCAAGATGTCATCACGAATGGTCCAGTATCCTTGTACATGTATTTTATGCAGTATCTCATTCCTCTTCTGTGGCCTGGACCCTTGTGTCACTGTTTCTTGTCTGATCCAGTTTTGTAGTTGTCACTCTCACAATGTGATGGATTTGTACCTTCATATCTTCCATCTCTTTCTTGTCATGAGGTGATAGTCTGGAGAGTGCGTCAGCCAACAGCATATCATTTGCCTGGCTTGTAGTTGATTGTGTAGTGTCATAGTGTTGCAGTCTCTAAGTAACAGCCTCTGCAACCTAACTCTGGAGCTTTGGTCAGGTTTGTCTTGTCAATCTGTTCTAGTGGTCGATGACCTGACTCGATTTCGAAGCTCAGACCTACCATACAGATATGTATGGAATTTCTCGCAACCGTAGACAACAGCTAACAGTTCTCGTTCGATGTTCGCATACCTCGTTTCTGCTGGCATAAACGCTTTTGAGGCAAATGCGATTGGTTTGTCATCTTGAATGAGTTCTGCTCCCACTCCCTTCATAGAAGCATCTACTTGGAGTGTCACAGGCTTGCTCCTGTCATAGTACTGCAGTGTTGTCTCCTTGGTTATCAGGCTTTTTTGGCTTTTGAATGTGACTCGCTCCATTTGTACTCAATGTCTTCCTTGAGCAATTCTCGCATGTTCGCTGTGAGATTTGGGATGAATGCAGTCATGTACTGGATCAGGCCTAGGAAACTTCTTAATTCCTTTGCATCTTTAGGCTCTTTCATCTTGTTGATGGCTTCAACCTTTGTTGGATCTGGTTTTAGTCCATCTTTGGAGTATATCATCCCGGAGAACTTGCATTCTTGTTTCTTCACGATTAGTGATGCATACCTAAACCCAATTTTAGGTTCAGGTCCGGATTCAAGTCCAGAGATTTAGGTTCAGTTCCGGACTCGTAAGTCCGGACCTAAACCCATGGCATATACAAAATTGCATGTTGGCAACCTTGCAATGTTGTCTGGGTGAAACTTTGGCCACATAACATGGAGGCCGATACTTGATGATGCCCGATAGCAATGTTTTCTTCATTTTGCAGCAAAGATTTTACAATCTACAGAAGGTTTTAGGTGGTTTGGAAAGAAAAGGGGTATGTGAAATGGTCTTTTATGGCAATAAGTCCGGACTCGGTTCTTGACTTTTAGGTTTTTTTGGACTTGAACCTAAACATTCTTACAAGTCCGGATCCAAGTCCAGTGAACCGGTATGCATCACTATTCACGATGCATTTTTCTGCGTTCAGCTTCATTCCAGCTGCTCTTGTTCTCTCCATAGCTTTGTGGACTTTATCATCTTCCTCATAGACTTGTATGTCGTCAGCTATTTTGATGGCACCATGGCAGTTTTTGTAGGCGTAGTCTATCTCACTATGGAAGACGTCTTGGCTGACCTTTAACCCGAATGGAAAGCGGTTGAACTTGTACCTGCCAAACGGCGTATTGAATGTTGTCAGCAGGGATGATTCTTGTCAATCTTGATGTTCCAGTATCCATTACTAGCATCCAGTTTACTGAAAACTTTTGCCCCACGACAGATGTGGTGTGATATTCTCTTCCTAATGTCAGTGTTGGGTAATGGTCCCGCTTTAAGGCATTATTCAGATCTTTTAGATCAAGGCATATTCTCAATTTGCCATTGGGTTTTTCCTTGATGACAGTGAAGTGGGCTGCGTTACTTCGCTTATGATGCCTTCTTCCACCATCTCTTGTAGTTGTGCCTTTAGTCTCCTAAGCTCAAGTGGCACTCGCCTTGGTGTACTACTGGCTTCATGTTGGGGTCAATGGTTATATGGTATTCTCTCTTGAAACAACCAACGTTGTCGTCGAAACACTCAGGATACATTTCCATCAGCTCTTTTTTGCTGTTATAATGTACTTGAGGGTCTGTCTTTCAGTGGCATGTTTTGGTCAATCCTGTGACTCTGTGCCTTCACCTTATGGCTTTGTGATACATAGAGAGAACATGTAACATCTCTTCCTTTGTGCTTTCCTTGGATAAGTGCTTTTCCCAGATGTGGGATTCTGGCACCTTCATATGCTGTTATTTAATATTGTGTCGCTGGGTGTCAGGATTCCTTCCTTGACTCTGCCATTCTTCTTATTATGCTCTGGGAACATCTTGGCATAATGCTGGAGAGGCATCACATTGCTCTGTGCTCCAGTGTCTATTTTAGCCTTAGGTTAATGTTCATTCTCTTTCTGCCTGATATATTGCTTTTCTGGAAGCTTGTGTATGCTTCATCTTGGTTTGCTGGATTTGTGTTATCCATTCCATTTTGTTATTCATTCCAGTGCCAATTGCCAGGGATTCCTCCTCTGAGCTAAGTTGTTCCTCCCTCTGGAGGTGTACATGCTTTGGTCTGGGTTTGCCATATCTTCTGGGCTGTTGTGGCTTACTTTGAGTTAAGGCTTAGGTCTGCCTTTTGTTTTGCACATTTTTTCCCAGTGGTTAGGCTTAATTTTAATTGCCACATGCATTACAATTTGGACCATATGCTGGGCATTTCATCCTGTCGTTGAATTCGTGCTCAGTGCCACAGTACGTACTAGCAGATTCTTGCATTGTTGTTTGTACGTGGTCTTGTCTTGTAAGGCGCTTTCTACCCTGTTACTAGACGTGCCTGTCTGCATGGATAGAGAGGACATTCTTACTGCTTCTGAATCGCTTCAAAGGCTCTAGCTGTGTCCGTAGCTTCTCGGAGCATCAGCTCAGCTTTTCCGTATATAGATTAGGCCTTTATAGTGGGGCATTTCTTTCAAGGTCCCGATGGTCTCTGCAAAAGACAAATATTAATACGAGGATCATACACTCTAAATTGACTTTCTACATGTACATGTAAGTTAAAAGAGGTGTGACTTTTGGTCAGACAGAATGACAGAATGGTAATTTGTGGTCATTCGCTAAAAAGACGCTCCCATGCATTTAAAGTCGATCACAGGTAAAAACTAAAAGATACTGTAGATAGACAGTGAAGTTAAGTTGACATGTACAAGCGTTCAAGTTAGGGAAGTTTTCAGTGTTAGTTTGAAAATTTGGACAGGTTTTGAAATAGCTGATAACGTGAGTCTAAACGAACTTTGAAATTCGAGCAAATAATGGGTGTAGTTGTGTTTTGCTTTCTTTTTAAGTCCATTTTCCCACCAAAAAACCCAACTAATGAGCACCCTCACCTGGTTAATTAATTGGATTAAAGTTTTCCCGCCAAAAAACTTAGTATATGGAGCGCTCTAACCTTGAACTTGTGCCCCCCTCCCCACTTCTTCCACAACACACAGTACATTAGTTACACTGTTCCAACACTTAAGACTTCTTTGAACATGTAACTTCTTTGAACACGTAGTCACCACACTTAGTTGATCGAGCAGTTATTCTGCCACAACAACTTTAGAATAATCTCTCGCTCTCCTGGTTGGTCAATGCACTAAGTGTACTCCCCGTGGGATGTCTTTCCGGAGACATTGATGCTTCGAAACATCAGTATACCAGTGCAATTGCCTGACCAGGAGAGCGAGAGATTATTCTAAAGTTGTTGTGGCAGAAAAACTGCTCGATCAACTAAGTGTGGTAACTACGTGTTCGAAGAAGTTACATGTTCAAAGAAGTCTTAAGTGTTGGAACAGTGTAACTAATGTACTGTGTGTTGTGGAAGAAGTGGGAGGGGGGGCACAAGTTCAAGGTTAGAGCGCTCCATATACTAAGTTTTTTGGCGGGAAAACTTTAATCCAATTAATTAACCAGGTGAGGGTACCAATTAGTTGGGGTTTTTTTTGGCGGGAAATTGATCAACAGATTTTTGGGCAGAATAATCAACCACAGGTTTAAGTGACAATTTTGGGGCAATTTGGCATTTTCAACTACAAGATACAAAGAATTCTTCAGTGACGCCTAACATGGGATTAAACTTGCCGGTTAAACTTAAAAAGTTAAAGGGGTCTTCACGTAAAAAAGGCATACAGACTGAACTGGGCAAAAGAGAAATGCGAGACTCAGTGTAAGTGTGTGCACCTGAAGGCATGTGGAGTGTTGTCTCGTGTTAATAAAGAAACCATACTCACACCTCCCCATCTTCTTTCACACAGCTCTGCCCATAAAAGTTTGGTCCTTCCGCTCAGACCAGGCTTCGGGTCCACATCTTGAAGACAGGAGAAACAAAAGTCAGAGCATAGAAGACAGCAATCGGCCTTGCAGGAAATAACGTGTCACACATCATACAAGTTTATATAAACCAGGCCACATTCAACTTAAAAGTCAACCATCAAAACCAATTTTACTATAGAGAAACTTAATTGTCTAAGGAAAACATGTTGCCAAACACACACTATCTAGTACCTTAATAAGGCATTAAGGCCAT